TGGGCCCCCAGACCTGTGTCTGGCCAGGCCTCCCTTTGCAGGCTGGTCAGAGGGCCAGAGTGAACTCTGCCCCCAATGCCCACTACTGCTGGCCCTGAACCAGAGCTTGGGCTCCTGGCTCCCACCCAGAGCTCAGTCCCACAAGACCTAGCCAAGAGAATGCATGAATGGATTTGTGAGTGCACAGGAATCTGTGAGCGGCGGGCGCAGAGCGCAGGACTGGGCCAGCCACACACACGTTTCTGTGCATGGAGCTGGAGCTCAAGGAAGACAGCCCTGCCAGGCCCTGGAGCCAAACTCTTCCTGGGAACCACCGTTAGTGCCCAAGGGACCCCATGGTGGGTGGCCCTTGTCCAGTCAGCTCCCCAGAGGCCTGGCCCAGGGCCCAGCTGCTGACTGGCGGCACTTGGTACACGTGCAGCACATCTGGGAAAGTGTTCTGGGGCTCAGGGGCTCCTGGGCCCCAAGACGGTGTGAGGAAATGCTGGCCACTCCCCATGATAGGCCAGCTCCGCCCAAAGCCCCAGAGACCGGAGACCTCAGACTGAAGGACTGTCAGGCTCTGTAGTCTAACTAACATCCTCATTTATGGGAGGAGACTGGCCCCAAAGAGAGGTCTGAGGGCCTGGCAACTCAGACGGTGAGGACAGACCACTGCCTCCCACACACCCCTTCAAGTCAGCTAAGCCTTGCCCTCCGCTCCCAGCCTCCTTCCTCTCTGTCCTCCTTGGGACCTTCCACCCCAAGCTCCCTGATGGCTTTGACATCTGCCAGCAGCAGGTGTAGGAAGCACCCACCCCAGGAAGCAACAGCCTCACCTTGGACTCATCATTCCCCACCTATGATCCTGGGTGAGTGAAATGCCTTCCCTTAACCCAGGTTCCTAATACATGAAACAGGCGCAACAGCTGCTTTCTGAGTGAGGCTACAGAGGAGGTTGAAGGTAAAAAGTCTGACAGCAGATGCTACCACATGCCTACAGTCCTAGCTCTTTGGGAGGCTAAGTTGGGAGGATCACTTGAGTCCAGGAGTTTGAGGCTACAGTGAACTGTGATGACACCACTACATTCCAGTCCAGAGGACAGAGTGAGGCCTTGTCTCAAAAAAAAGAGAGAGAGAGAGAGGGACAACCAGCAGACATGGAAGATGCTGGAAGATGCAAGATGTGGCGGTCCCACCCCTCTTTCTTCTCCTCCAGGAGGCTCAGGCCCCCAGGACAGGCTGAGGCTGACACTGAGAAGGACGGGATCTGGATCTGACAACTCTGAAGACAGCACTCATAGGGACAGGAGTTGCCAGTTATGACTCCTTAGGAGAAACACAGAACCAACATCACACCTGCCAGGTGAAGCTATAGGTCACTGTGCCAGTATTACCGCTTCTGCAATGCCTGAATTGTCTACCACCCAAGTACGAAATTGCTTTAGTATCAAGAAGAAAAAAATATATATATGAACAAAGAAGAGAATGTCTAATTATGTGTTTCCAAAATAACCAAAGACCAACATCTATTGAATTGAAAAGGGGGTTTCTGAGGGCAGAGTGGCCAAGAATGGCTTCCTGTGAGGACTCACACTGGGCGAGGGGGGATAGAAGTGTCAAGGGAGGATACCCTCCCCACCCAGGAGTAGACCATGGGGCACAGGAGACCCAGGAGACCCATCAGCATGAGGATAAGACCGTCTTCTCCATCTTTGAGCACAGAAAGCAGATTTAACACCATGTCAGCATAGGAGGGACACCGCCCAGGAAGCAGCCTGGGGCAGGATCAAAGACGGGCCACCTCCGCCCACCCTGAGCAAAGACACTTCCCCTGCAGCACCCTCTGCACTGGGCCCAGGTGAGCACCTGCAGGTCAACCACTGACTGCTGCTGGGCAGTCCCCGCCCCTCCCCTAATCACATACTCACACATGTGCACACTTGCATACACAGCCTTGGTACCATGAACAGGGCCTGCTCACTCCTGCAGACTCATTCTGTCTTCAAGCCCAATGTGGAGGCAGGAGCCCCCTATGCCACCCAACACCTAACCCCCATCTTTAACGCCAACAAAGCAAGGCCTCAGAGGTGACAGGCTGGTTCTCTGTAGGCGCTCAGACCCCAGTACAGTCACCCTCTAACGCCAAAGCTGAGATTCTTGAAATCCCAGTAACTCAGCCTGCTGGTCCTGCCTTTCACCCCATTCAGGAGCAGCAGATCTGGTTGCTGAGTGATGGCTAACAAGTCCCTGCTGTCCCCAAGGCCTCTGTTTTCTCAGTGCTAAGGCAGAAGAAGACTCTTCCCATATGTCTCACAGGACACTGGGAAAGTGATGGTGAAAAAGGCCTGAAAAGGAGGAAGTATCCTCCATTTTAACTGGTACAGTCCACAACGACAACCCATCCCGCCCAGGAGACAGCTAGTATGCTGGTGGGTGTGCCTCACCGGGCCCAGTCATGAGGCCTTCTGAGAAGCAGAAGCCGTGTTGGGCTTGCCACAGTCAGTGACAATTCCCACTGCCCCACTACTCGGCTTTCTGCTTCTGACTGCCAATGTCCTATTGAAACCACAAAATGTCCGGTTCTGACAACTCTCTAGAAGCTTCCAGCTCTGGGTCCTGATGTCCCAGGGCTCTGGGGACAACTGGTGAGCATGCCAAAGGTGGCCACAGTCCCTGGGGGCAGGGACAGCTTTCCCAAGGCCCCGCATAGGCAATGAAGGCCAGGGGCACCCAGCATGACTCAAGCCTCGCCACAGCCGCTGCCTGGGCCAGTTGGGCATAATCTGACTAATAACCTCTGAAGACCTTCTTTATTCATTTCCAAAACACCGTGGAACTACCCACCTCTAGCCAGCACTCACAGAGAAGAGGAGCTCAGAAGACAACAGAGTGAGTGTTCTACCACTGGCCCCTGGGGAGCTGCCCACGCCCTGGGACCAGAGAGCCAGACACCACAGTCCCAGGTGTCACCAGGCAGGGCTCCCTGCCGGCTCTACATCCACCTCCCTGAGAAGCTTTACCCCAAATTGCTGCAGCACAAGCCCCAGGCCCAGACACGGGATCCTTGTGGGGTGTGGCCTGGGCATCAGTATTTTTTAAATTAATAGGCTTTATTGGGTGGCGCCTGTGGCTCAAAGGAGTAGGGCACCAGCCCCATATACCGGAGATGGCGGGTTCAAACCCAGCCCCAGCCAAAAACTGCAAATAAATAAATAAAAATTAATTTTTTTTTTAAAATAGGCTTTTGGGGGGGTCAGTTTTAGGTTTATGGAAAGTATTATACAGAGAGTTAGTCATCAGTACTTTTTCAAAGCTTCCCAGGTGACTGTAGCATGCAGCCTGAGTGAGGTAGGCGTCTGGAGAATAGGGCTTGGAGCTCCTGCCGGAGGCATCCATGTGGGCAGCAGCTGAGAGACCAGAAGAACCCAGGCCCCCAGATTAATTCTCAGGGGTCACCAAATCATGTCCAAAGGCTGAATCTGGACCTACTATCTGTCTTAGTACAGCCTACCAGCTAAGAAGGGTTTCTACATTTCTTAATGGCTGGAAAAAAATATCAAAAGAGGAATATTTTCTAATGTAAAAATATTTACCAGCTGGCCCTTTAGAGAAAAACTTTGCCAGCTATGTGCAAGGAGCATCCACCATCTTAGGGAGGGTGAACCCAGCCAGGAAGAGCCCCCGCCCGCGCAGGGACACAGGAAGAAAGAGGAACACTCACCCCAGATACACTTCCTATCTGGAAATGCTACCAGCTGGGCCGCAGGTGCCCTGGGGCAGGCAAGGTAGATCCCACCAGCAGCGTCAGCTAGACCACACCTCCCGGCTGGGCTGTTCTACTAGTTTTGCCCATCTGGGCTTCCAAAGGCACCGGGAGGATAGCTAGGCGGCACCGTTTACCACCCTGCTGGACTGTGCTCCACTGAGCGTTGGGGCTGCCGGCTGCTCCTTCAACACGGGGCTAACTGACTGGACAAAGTTTCACAAACTCTCCTTTCAACCTCAATGGCTACCTTTGATTCCTGCCTAGACCATTTCCACTAAGTTTCCATGTCTGTCCAGAGCATACATGCAGTAGAAGGACCACTGTCCCGCCAGAATAGAGGTGGCAGCCACCTCCCTGGAGGGACCACAGAGGCACTGAAGGGCCTTCAGAGTAAAAACACCCCCGCCCACCACGGACTGATGCATCTCCACACTCAGACCTTCACATGTAAACCATCCCATTTTTCCGTGGAGTAATTTAATCAGATTGCTTTCCAGCTCCGTCACAGCAGAGGGGCTGGCAGGGCCAAGTGAGCTCCCGGCGCTCTGCCCTGCACAGCGGGACAGGGAGGGGTGTGGGGCTTGAGGCCTCGGAGCAGCAAGAACCACACCAGGGTGCTTTCGGGAAGGGGTTCTGACTGCTTAGCAAACAGGAGACACTGATGACAGGGTTGGGGACCCCCCAAACTGTCCCCAGGCCACAGCTTCCTGGGGGTGGCCCTCCCCATGCCTAGGGCAGAGGCCTGCCCAGCCCCTGGGAAACGGAGCCCAGTAGGGCTGGGAAGGGCAGGGAGGAGCCCTGGCTATTTTTCTGAAGTGCAGAGCTGCCCGAGTCTGCCTGAGGGGGTGCGGGGAACTGGGCCCACCCAGGGCACCATGCTAGTTCTGCTCTGGAGGCTCCAAATTAAACAGCTCCAGGCAGGAAGCCCGCCCTCTCCCAGACTGGTCAGGAAGTCTGCTCCAAGTTTGCGCTTTTTAAAAAAAAAACCAGGAGAGAGATTCGCGCTCCCCTCCCCACCGCTCGGCCTGTCCCACAGGGGCCAGCAAGGCCCCCGAGGACGGCCCCGCTGCCCCGCGCGCGACGCCTGCCCGCACCGTGGGCGCTGGGGTGCAGTCTCTGCCCGACCGCCGCCGCCCTTCCTGCCCGGCGCTCGGACCGACCCGGCGCGCTCATGCTTCTGGAATGCGGGAGCCCAGGGCCGCGCGTCCCGGGGAATCTCAGCGCCCGGCCCCCCGCGCCCGCGCCCACTCACCGGCCAGGAGCGCGCAGGGCAGAAGCAGCCAGTAGAGCGCGGCACCCAGCACGTGCGGCTCCATGCCTGGAGGGCCGGGCCCGGGTCGTCAGCCGCGCGGCGCTAAGGGGCAGTGTTGGGGCCCAGCGCCCAGAGCGCCATGGTGCTGGGACGGGTCACCGCACGTGCCACGGCCAGGACTCCGGGAACCCGCGCGCCTCCTCCTCCGTGGGCCGGGGCTGCGCTAGCTCGGGCTCAGCCTGCCCCTCGGCGGAGCCCAGCGCACGGATCTCCGAAGCTGAGCTGGGCCGGACGCGGCTCGTGGCTCCCGCCCTCCGCCCGCGGGCCTTTATAGCTCAGCCCCCGCACGCCCGCCCTCCCCGGCGTGCCCGCCCCCGCCCCGGCCCTGACGGCAGGCGCGGCCAAGCAACACCCCCACTGCCCGGCACCCCGCTCTGGCCACTCACCCCGCCGGCCCCCCGCCCCCGCCCGGGCCTCTGCTGGCACGTCGGGCCGGAGACCCCAGTCCGACGCACGAGGACCCCACCACCCAGTAGCCTTGGCACCGCCGTTTGGTGTGTGTGTGTGGGTGGGCAGGGGGCTCAGCGCCCTGGACTGGTCGGGCCGGAGCCCCAAAAAGACTACCTAGGTGGGCCCTGGCCTCCCCCGACAGCACCCCACGAACAACTGCGCCCGCGTGGCCCGAGCGACTTTCGTTTTGCTTGCGGAGACGCTAGGACGCAGCGCCCCCTGGGGACCGCGGGGCAGCGGGACGGACGTGGCCAGGCCTCCTGGCCCTGGTGCCCGACGGGCTGCTCAGGCCGCCAGCCGCGCTGTGGTTCCCGTGCGGTCGCACTGGGGCTTGGGGCTGCTTGCAGCCACGCCTCCCTAATCACTCTGCAATAACACGATAGTGACCACAGCCAGAGCACCTGCTGCGGCCTGCTGTCACCTTGGTGGAGAGGCTGGATCAAAGTCCTGGCACCTCACCCAGGCCACCTCAGTTTGGCAATGGGGATCTCTGTGAGTGGGCAGCCTTGGTGGTGCAGCTGGACTCAGTCGCACAGAGGAAGGAGCTGGGTGAGGGAAGCCCCTGTGGTCACCACTGAGCCTCAGGGCGCTGCTGGCTGATATGAGCCCAAACACAGCTCAGACCCTGCAATTTGAATTAAAAAGTAAGGCCAGGCCTATGGCTCCCACACTCTAGGAGGCCGAGATAGGATTGCTGGGTCTCAGGAGTTGGAGACCAGACTGAGCAAGAGCCAGATCCCCTCTCTACTAAAAAATAGAAAAACTAGCCATCGTTGTGGTGAGCACCTGTAGTTCCAGCTACTCGGGAGGCTGAGGTGTGAGATTGCTGTGAGCTAAGTTGATACCACAGAACTCTACCCAGGACAACAGAGTGAGATTCTGTCTAAAAATAAATAAATAAATGGCTCGGCGCCTGTGGCTCAAGCGGCTAAGGCGCCAGCCACATGCACCTAAGGTGGCGGGTTCGAATCCCCAGCCTGGGCCCGCCAAACAACAATGATGGCTGCAACCAAAAAATGGCCAGGCGTTGTGGCAGGCGCCTGTGGTCCCAGCTACTTGGGAGGCTGAGGCAGGAGACTCACTTGAGCCCAGGAGTTGGAGGTTGCTGTGAGCTGTGATGCCATGGCACTCTACCCAGGGGAATAGCTTGAGGCTCCGTCTCAAAAAAATAAATAAATAAAAATAAATAAATAAATAAAATTATTTATAATTTATTTTTTTTTTATTTTTTATTTAACCTCAACCTATAGCAGGTTGAGCTATAGGCGCCGAGCCTATAATTTATTAAAATAAATTAAAACATAAAAGCCAGAAATGCAGGCTTTAATGCATATTTTCATGGGAAGTTTGGTGTTTAAAATCTGACTCTTCTTCTCTCAGAAAGCATCTTCTGGGAAGTCTCCAAACTTGTCTTGCAGATGTACTTGCAAAGGAGCCAAAAGTGTACAAGAACTCGTTTTTTGTTTGTTTTTTTGAGACAGAGTTCACTTTATCACTCTACATAAAGTGCTGTGGCATCATAGCTCACAGCAACCTCAAATTCTTGGGCTCAAGTGATCCTCTTGCCTCAGTTTTTGTTTGTTTGTTTTCTATTTTTGGTAGAGACAGGGTCTGGATTTTGCTCAGGCTGGTTTCAAACTCCTGAGCTCAGGAAATCCTGTCTGGGCCTCCCAGAGTGCTGGGATTACAGGTTTGAGCCACCAACCCCCACCTATTCAAGGATTTTTAAAGTAGCAAGATGAAAGAACAAACTATTTGCTCACGGGAGGGTGTTATCCATGGCATTGGAGTACTATGTAGCAGATAAAGAAAGTGGCAACTTTCTCTGTATTTATGGATGATCTCTAAGGCACAATGTTGCAATTGGGCTGCAGGCGCAGGCTCCCAGGGAAGGCTGGACTGTGGGCCGGAGGAAGACATTCCCTTCTCTGGAGTACCCTTTCATCTATGGGCCCTGCTGTTTGTGAGCCCAGCTTTCTATGGGCCCAGCTGTCTCTGGGTCCTGCTCTCCTTTGGCCCTGTTGTCTGTGGGCCCTGGTGTCTATGAGCACTGCTATCTATGAGCCCTTCTGTCTGTGGGCCCTGCTGTCTGTGTGCCCTGCTGTTTGTGGACCCTGCTGTCTATGAGTCCTACTGTCTGTATGCCCTTCTGTCTGTGTGCCATGCTGTCTGTGAGCCCTGTTGTCTGTGGGCCCTCCTGTCTGCAAACTCTGCTGTCTATGGGCCGTGCCAACATTCCCTTCTCTGGAGTACCCTCACCTATTCACTAAATACAAGGACAGAGCCTCTGAGAAAGATCTTCCCCACCAGCCTGTGTGGCAGGCAGGAAGAGGTGTAATGCATAAGGGAGCCAGCCACTCCAGCTGTTCCTCCCTGAATGCCCACCCCATAGCCCGTTCAGGAATTCAGACCATGTTTCAATACAACCTCTTCTGCAGAAAAGGGCATGGAGGCCCAGCATGGGGAAGCCATTTGCCAAAAGACCAGACATGCCTTGAGCCCAGCTTTCCTGACTCGGAGTCCAAAGCCACTCTCCCACCACCCCACGGCTCCATGCCCTTTCTAAATGTGTGGTTGTTGCTGACAGCATCAGTCTTGGAAGAGCAGCAGTGATCAGGGCCCTTGGGGAGAGAGTGGGCAGAGGTAACTGAGTTATATCACTTAGGTGTTAACTTTTTCCCCAAGGATATAATATAGGCATCATTACTTTACTTGTTTATACTTAAAAATTAAGAGGAAGCAACCTAACTGCCCAATAATGAGAGAATGGGCAAACAGAATTTGCTCTATCCATACAATGGACTGTTATTTGGCCATAAAAAGGAGTGACGTGCTGGTACCCGGGACAGACAGACCCTGAGCAGAGGCAGCAAAAGGAGAAATGCTGTGTAATTCCACTTCCATGAAGTATCCAGAATGGGCAGACACACAGTGTCAGAAAGCAAAAGGGAGGCTGCCAGGGGCTGGGGAGAGCAATAAACAATTTTAATAAATATGTACATGAGAGCGGCGCCTGTGGCTCAAAGGAGTGGGGCGCTGGCCCCGTATGCCAGAGGTGGTGGGTTCAAACCCAGCCCTAGCCAAAAAACTGCAAAAAAAAAAAAAAAAGAGAGAGAGAGAGAGAGAGAGAGAAATACATACATGATTAAAATAATTTTCAAGCAGGCTGGGTGTGGTCGCTCACACCTATAATCCTAGCACTCTGGGAGGCCAAGGCAGGCGGATTGCCTGAGCTCACAGGTTTGAGACCAGCCTGAGCAAGAGCAAGACCTCGTCTCTCAAAATGGCCAGGCGTTGTGGTGGATGCCTGTCATCCCAGCTACTTGGGAGACTGAGGCAAGGGAAATTGCTTAAGCCCAAGAGTTCGAGGTTGCTGTGAGCTATGATACCACAGCACTCTACCAAGGGTGACAAAGTAAGACTCTGTTTCAGAAAAAAAAAAAATAGTAATTTTCAAGCTGTTGGCTCTGAGTCTTCCTCTAAGCCCAAGGTCCCTCAGCAGAGGCAATCACAATCTCTGTTCCTTGAGCATATTGTTTTCCTGACTCTTGGCCAGAGATTTTGTGAGATTTGGGGAGCTATTATTTCATTTCCCTGAGAAAATTCTCTATGAAGCAGTCTCCAGGCACCCTGTCTTGGAAACCAAAAGCAGGGCCAGCAGTGGAGGACAAGGGTGTCCCTGCTCTGGTCAGAAGACTCCAGGGGTCTTCTAAGGGCCGGGTCCACCGGCACAGTGCTAAGGGCTCTTATGGAGACTGCTGAGCCAAAGCCCTTTCTTCTTGGCAATGGGAAGCTCCCCCAGCCCCTTCCTTTGTGAGTCCCAAGTAGACGGCAAAGGCCCCAGAGGCTGGGCCTGGGGAAGAAGCCAGAGATCACTGCCATCTCTCTCTGTCCCAGAGCTAGAGCCAGGCCTGGTCCTGGGGAGGCTGAACAGCCCAAGTCCTGGGCTACATGGCCTGCACTCCTCACTGCCTCAAGAACTTGGACAAGCTACAGAACCCCAGGGGCTCAATCATCTTGTCTATAAAACTGGGGCCTTACTGCCCCTCAGAGCTGTGAGGGTCAGGTGAGTCACTTGCATTGGGGGTCCCACCTGTCCTGCTTTCCTGGAGGTGTACAAATACAGGTACTCAGAGACACAAATGGGGGGCCTATGATATGCAGTGACAAGGCCCCATCCTCAGCCACAGGCCCATGCTGGCTTTGAGTAACCACCCTCTTGTACCCTGCCCCTCTGGAGTTGGTGCTGATTCTGCTGGCCTCCAGCCTGAAGGCCCCACTGGGCTCTGTCAGGGCTCAGTGTGCAGCTGGATCAAAGGGTCAACAGTGGCTCCAGTTCCACATCCAGGGCTTGAAGTCCAGTCTGGAACCTGCCTGCTGGCCAGAGTTAGGACCACCATGAGGACACACATGTACAGGATCCTGTGGCAGGGAACCCTCTGACAACCTGGGACAGAGGCACTTAAACCCACAACTATGGTGAGGAAGAGGAATAAGGAAGGCTGGTCAGTTATTGGCATTTGCCAAATAAGCCCAAGGTTAACTAGCTTGTCAGCAGTTTCCCCATCTTGGTAGTAAAATTGGGGCCTAGTTAGAGAGGATGATGGGAGCCTGTCCTGTGACATCCCTGACATCCCAGTGTGTGGCCATCTGTGGCCATGGGCCTGGAGGCTTCCAGAGGCTCTATCTCAGGTCACTCTGTGCCTCCAGGGCCACCACAGCACCCTCCATAGGAGGACACTTAACACTTCCAGAGTAGGTGTGAGG